TTCAGTTAAAGAAAAGCCCGCTCCCTTCGAGATCCCAGGTAGGTAAACACACCAAGCGCTGGGAGGTGGCCGTCGCTGCCCACTCCTTGCAGCTCCCTGAGTCCCTTTGGGTGATAGGGTGGATGCTCTGGCTTATCTACACGATAATGTTAGACAAACTTCTCCTGGCCCCGGATAACTGGCCGGGAAGGAGGTAAGAAGCAATGATTCCTATTTGTCACCCCAGGACTTCTCACAAGATAGAGGCTTCCAGAAGTCACCTGCCTATGGTGTAACCACGTGACTCAGGCGGACCTGCAGAGCGTGTGGCTGGGCACTGGGGTCTGGACAGGCTCCAAGTCAAGCTGGACTTTGGTGTCAGATTTGAGGTTGATGTTTGGCTCTGCTCACCAGGAGCTTGTGACCACAGGCAGCTGATTTACTCATTGATTCATTCATTCAGAAAATATGTCCCAAGCATTCACTTACCCGGCCTGTGAGGCTCAGGGGGTCCCGACCACGTGTTTTAGAGCGTCCCCTGTTGTCCCCACAGAAGCCCTGTGGATCCCTCCCGGGTGCACGTTTCTTGTCTGTCTCGCCGTGTGGGGTGTGGCGCCCCCCTAGAGCTTAAGCTCCAGAAGGAGGGGCATGCTTGAATGCCCCTGGGGACCTCAGTGAGGGCTTGTCGGCCGTCACCATGGGTGACTTCAGTTCTGTTTAACGTCCTGGTCTCTCAGAACTCTACCCTCCTCTCCAGGGACTTTCCCTCCTTCAGCTGCTGACGCCCACACCCCCATCAGGACTGGAGAAGTTCAGGGCCAGCTCCTGCCTCCTCCATTTGCTTGTTCAACTTGAGCTCCACTTGTTCTCTGGTAACAGCGTCCTGCAGGCCTCACCTCCTGACTTCCGCCCCCTGGTCCCTCGCCTGCCCCTGACCTGTCTGACCCCACGGACGCCGCGTGTGCCTCCCACTGCACATAGGTGCTGCTCACAGTCCAGCGCCCACCTTTGCCCCGTGGGCACCCACACCACCATCTGCTACCTAGAGAGCGATCACTAAGGATTTCTGGAATAAATGTGCCTAGGTTTCCGCAGTGGCTTTGCTTCTCCCCATTCTCTATTTCAAATCTTCTCCAAGTCTGGGGACCTCATCTCCTCCTCCCCCTCAGGAGACAAGCTTGCCTCCTCCTTTACAAACTAGAAATCCAGGGACAGATGATGACTCCCCCAGCTGCATCCACAACCTTCTCTGCCTCTTGTTACCTGGGGAGACCTCACCCCACTTCTGGACTCTGGACAATGCCCTCACTTCACTGTTCAGGGACTCTGCTAGAAATTGCTTGTCTGTTATTTTAAAAACCAAGCAAAATGAATCACCTCTTAACCCCCCTCCTCCCCCAGATGCCACCCTTTTCCCCCATCAGGGCCAAACCTCTCCTCCACCCTGAACCGCCGACCCAACCTGGGCTCTTCACGGTCACCAGTTACCTCGAGCAGCACCCTGGGCTGTCCACTCCTGCACCGTCCTGGCCGAGGTGAGGGGGGCCCAGGGCTGTCCTCCCCTGGTTCTCTCACCCCACACGGCAGGCTCACACCTCCGCCCCACCCCAGTGCCTGATGCACAGTAAGGGCTCAGCAAACACTTCCTGAACGATCGATCGTGACTCAGGCTGGGGCCTCCCGCTGCCTCTGGTGCACTGACCCAGACTCCACAGGGGGGCACCCCAAGCTGGCGGTCCCTGTGCACTGCAGCTGATCAGAAACCCGCCCACTGACCAGTGGGAAGCAGGTTCTAATAGGTGGGCGTGTCTAGGAGCATGACCAGAGTCGTCTCTGCGACTGCAGTGTGTCCCACCCTTCAGATGAGCATCTTTCCGGCTGTTTCCAGGAAGACTTGTGAGTCTCCCCGCAACAGTGAGTGGCAGGGGCTCTGAAGATGGAGTGCCATTCCTGGGAGACGCCACCCTTCCTGGTGCCAGGGTTATGCTTACCAGAACCCTGGGGCTACAGGAGCTCCCTCGAGGTCGGTGGCTTGTTATCTTGCTGAGAGGGACACTGGGTTCTGCGGCAGAGAACGGGATGGCACTTGAGAGGTAGAAATCACAAAGGGCTCTGGCAGCATGCTGCCCTCCTGTGAGCTGCCCCTGGCTATTGGACAGGAGTAACTCTGAGAAAACCCAGACTCTAGTTAAGAGGCCGGAGTACTCGGCAGCCACGCTAATGGGAAGGGTCAGCTGTGTGCACCGCTCACCCTGATGCCCTTGTCCCGTGTGGACACAGTACATCCTGACATTCACTGGTGACGGGACTGGGTGTCCCTACCTGGCCACAGCAATGCCTGAGGCCTGTGCTCGGCGCCAGGAAACGAGGCTTGGAGCTGGCCCAGCTTGCTCAGGGTCACTCCGGCGTCCTGCCTCCTCAGCCAGCCACCTTTCCTCTGACTAGGTTATGCAACAGGAACCAGGAAGAAGGACCCATGCCCGTTCTGGTATGTGGGTCCCGGCCAATCTGGCAGGGAAAAAACCCTGAGTGATCAGAGACCATTCACAATTGGGTTGCCAAGGGCCCTCAAATGCCATTCTGATCCACTCTGAGGACTTCTCGGGTTCAAGGGCTAGGAGGGGATGTAGTTCAAAAGCAACGTCCGTCCTTTAAACTCTGACCAGAGCCCAGAGAATTCAAGAGACACTGGAAAGCTTTAGAAACTTGATTTTACAAATTCTGCTTCACATAAAAACCTCGCGGAGAAAGCTACCGCTTTTTTTTTTTTTCCTCTCAGATACAGTGAACACTGGCCAAATTGTTTTAATTTCCGAATTTATTAAAATGATTAACCTCAATACTGCAAGTGCATGTACAAAATAGTTGTAAAAAATGTTTTTAATGAAACGTTAAAGAACTTACCTCAAATGCTGAAAAAGTCCTTTTTCATTCTTTCAGTACAAGGAATACACTGTATCTCAAAAGTATTACAACTCAGCAAAACAATTTAAAACACAGTAATTTGAAAAATGATTGAAAATTGAATACTTCACATATATTTCTATGATCATTTCCTAATTCGTACAATGCCAAAATCTTTACCAATCATTGCATAAGTTCAAGCTGAAAGTTTTATTGAATGCAACCTCTTCCAGACTGGTCAAGAGTGTGCGGACTTGGCCACTCCACACGGTCAAGTTTGACAGCAGGTCCAGAACAGTCCCGAGGCCCCGACCATAAACAAACGGAGGTTAGGTTTCTCTAGAAGGCATCAACAGTGGCTGCTGAGTGCTTGTGCATACCGACTCCTGAGACGCAGTGACGTGTCACCAAACGTCACTGCTCTGAGACCCACGGGAAGGTCAGCCTCCACAGATGAGGCCACAATAAAATTAAAACACCATAAATAAATTACTAAAAATTAGGCAGAAAAATGGGAAATGTGATGTTTTGTTACTTTTTCCATTAAGATGGAAATTCCCGAAATGGCTATTGCTGGTACTCAAAGAAAGCAGTTCAAGAATTTAGTCTGACCCTTTTCAGACCACCCCGAGCTCAGGTGGGCACGAGAGAGGTGGCCCCCTGCTCTCTGCTATTTCCCAGACGCAGGATCTAACCTTCACCTCTCCTCAGCAGCAGGGGTCTCACACCTCCCCACACAGGGACAGCCGGGGGACTGGGCATGGGCTGCAAAGTGCGCCCAGTACCCTGGGCCTGCGGCTCCTGGGACCGCGCGGTGTCGTGCTGTGCGAAGCTAACGTTTCTAAATGCGGCAAAAGGGGGGGTGAGTGTGGGGACCAAGTCTACCACATGCTTCCGAATCAATACCTGAGCGATTAAACTGCACCACACAAGTAAGGATGCGACCGCACGAGACTACACAAGTACCTCCTTGGAGAGCCAAGGAGAAAAAGAAAATCTAAATCGGAAACACTTTTAGGAATATTATTAATTTCTATTTGTCATCGACTGGCAATCGTTTTAAGAAACTGAATCTAAATCATGTCCCCAGAACCTGGAAGTGGTAGGAATCAGTTAGCAATGACAGTGAGCTCTGAGAACTCGCCACCGGACGTGACGTCACTGCAGGCTTCCTTTTTGTATTTCAAACGTGCTACTTTTCTAAGACACCACGCGAAACCCCCGGTTGGTTCTCTAGGAACACCGTGTATCTGCCTGAAAGCACGTGTTCATTCACGTTTCCCAGAAACAGAGACTCACTGGCATCAAACACCTGCCACAGATTTATGTCCCCCAATTTTTTCTTCAATGATTTGTAAGTAATCCAGAGAAATCAGGAAATAGTCTGGTGTTGAACATAAAGTAGGAATCCAAAATTTGCTCATTAAGTTACTTAAAATTAATTTCTCAAAGTGCTTCAAAAAACAAATCTGACTCCTCTTTTGTTTAACTGATTAATATCATCAAAGACTCTTAGATATTTTCATACATAAACTAACACAAGCCAGGAACTCCCACTGATGCAGTGCTTAAAACTATTTATAATTTCCTATTTTATTGGCATGAATATTTCTAAACTTAAAAACCTTCCTGGTAAGTTCTTTTAATTTCTTATGACAAAAATTTCTCACAACACACAAATATTTACAACATATACATTGTTTTCAGTTCTTTACATTGAATTTCCGAGACAAACATTTTTATAGGTTACCACAGAACAAAAGCTGTGACTCATGTTTTTATTTCATAAACTATTATAAGTTAAAGTGAATAGATTTTTTTAATATTCCTTGTAGCATTTTACAAGTGCGACAGAAGACGTGAAGAACCGAATCGAGAGCTGTAGTTCATTAAACGCTGCTTGTTGTCATCACATTGTTCACAGCAAATTTTTGAAAAAATAAGCACCAATCATTCTTGCAAAAAACAATTTTATCTAAAAGGATTGAAAAGTGTTAAATACAAGGTCTTTAATTTACACGACAAGCAATAAATACGCTGCATGAAACTCACCCTGCACACGCCACCCTTGTACACACCGTGTACTCAAGAGTCAGCGGTCACACATGTCATTGTACTTTTTTTTTTTTTTTTTTAAAAAAGAAACCAATCTGACTCCCGACCCATGGTTTGCTACTTTAACAAAGACCACAAACAGTGCACTTGAGCCAGCAAACAGTGTGAAACTGACGTTAACTCCAAAGCGGGGGAACGTGTAGCAACTAAATCAAAAAGCCATAGATCATTGCTGGTGATATTAGCATATACTAGGAAACCTTAATATGCTGCTATGATTCATTGTTTAGTCATATTTAAAGAGCCACCGATGCTCTCAGAGTTAAAAAGAATTGTGTAGCCACATTATTGTTTTCAATGTCCTGTGTGGAAAGTTGATCGCTGTACAATTTTGCTCGAGCCTTTATTTTACAACAGGGCTTTACCTCGAACTCAGAATTGCACATAAGAAGCCTAGTTAAAAAGTACAATAAAAATGTGCACAGATCAGCCTTCAGGAGAGTCAGCACGCTGCACGCGGTCTGCAGGATCATGCTGTGCGGAAAGAGACCGCGGAAGTGCTGCCGCTGAAATATTTCCGTTGAGGGATAATTGACTGGGATTTTTTATTTCTTTAGTTATCCTGGGTCAAGACCGAGCGCTTACGCGTTGAGCCTCAAAGACTGGTCTTCTCTTCTCCTGGAAGAAATGTCAATATCGATAGAGTCCTTCCCGACGATTAGCCTCAATCGCTTAGCCGGGGGAAGAGGGATGAAGTCATCCTCAAAGTCGTCATCATAGTCCCCCTCCTCCCCGCCGCCCCCGGAGGAGGAGGACTCATCGCTACTCTCCTCCTCGTACTGACTGTAGTCGTCGACTTCCATCCGGGACTCCAGGAGAGAGAGGGTGTCGCCACAGCACACCCCGTTCTCATGAAGGCCCTCTGCGTACGACCCCCGACCCTCCTCGTCCCGTTTCAGCTGGATTTTTAATTTTGTAGAACTACTGCCTGATCCTGAGCTAAATCCGTTATTTAGCTTCGCTACATAGAGGTTATTATCATTTTCATGGTCTTTACTTAACTTGATGCTGATTTTTGAGGAATTCATCCCATCCTTCTCTTGGTCGTTTGTCTTGCTGCTGCTGTCGTGACGCCTGCGAAGAGTCAATTTGGGAATCCCAGAGTTGTTCTCCAGGATTAACTGGGCGTCATACCGTGTGATTCGCCGCTTCTTCTTGCTTTTCGCAGTCCTAAAGCTGTCTTTTGTTTTGAAGCTGTCTGACGTGACGATCGAACACCCGACGGGCGAGGGCGCGCAGTCCGTGTAGCCCGCAGGCGCACCCCCTGGGCCACTGCGCTCACCCTGGTCAGAATGGAAGCCCGGCACGTCTGGCCCCACGCTGTCCTTCCCGGGCGAATCACGCCCCGGAGCAGACTCTTCCATCTTGGCAAACTGCTTCCCAAGCTTTCCCTGGCGTGATTTCTTTCTCGACATGCCAGTGTCACTCTTGGGGCACTTCGTGTCCCCCTTCTGCGCGCTCTCAGGAGCCAGGTCCTCCTCCTGCAGCCCGGGGGCTGGCTGCTCACCCCCGTCCGCGCGCGGTGCCGCCGCGCCGTCTCGGAGGCCGTCCACTCCGTCTGGGTCCGGCTTGAGGTCAGAGGCCTCCTTCAGGCTCATCCGCGTCCGCACGGCCCGCCGCGTGACGTAAGAGCAGGGCGAGCCCTCGGCCCGCGCCCGAGCACCTCTCGCGGAGTTTTGTCTGTGTTCTCGCGCCGCGTGTCTCGTCAAGCACCCGCCGGCCGCTCCAGCTTGTACTGGTCCCTCCGGCTCCTTGTCTTTCTTGATGGGCAGATTTTTGTACAGAACTACTTTAGGCTCCTTAAGTACTAAGTTTCCCATTTCAAGTTTTCCGGAAGCAGTCTTTTGCTCCAGCCGTTTGCAATGATTTCTTAATTTTATCTTTGAAAGTAAAGGCTTTGCAGGCTTTTTCAGTTTCTTTGGTACCCTGGAATTATTTATGTGAGTTAGTTTAGATGAGGTAGAGTTGGAAGAAGCTGGAATTCTTGACATAGACTGCCTGGTTAACGTTCTGCTCTTGCTGTTCTTTTTCACACCAACTGAAGATTTTCGATTAGAAGCTGCAAGATTTAAAAAAAAAAAAAAAAAAAAATGAACGATAGCCTTAGTAACACAGCAGTGTTCAACAAAACAATGCCCCAGACCAGACCGTTAGCACCCGTCCGCATGGATACGGAAACCAGACCACTGGGGCAGCCCCGCGGCACATAAGCATTCCCGGCCCCATTTTTCTTCTTTAACCCAAACCCACAGCCATCGGGTCGATTCCAACTCACAGCGACCCTATAGGACAGAGTACACTGCCCCAAAGAGTTTCCAAGGCTTCAAATCTTTACGGCAGTAGACTGCCACATCATTCTCCTGTGGAGTGGCTGGTGGGTTTGAACCACCACCACTTCAGTTAGCAGCCAAGTGCTTAACCGCTGTGCCACCAGGGCTCCTTTTTCTTCACCTTCTCTAATTTCTACTTGTAATGTGTGGACCCTGCCCGTTCATTTCCGCGGTACATGACTTCACGGTCGAAGGCTCTGAGCACAGCGACGATCCAGGTCTCATGACTTCACCCGGAGTCTGTCTTTAATCTCGTGACACTGAGCCAAGCTAAGTTATTTCTTCTTCGGGTTTAGTATTTTACCACATAAAGGGTCTGGAGGAAAACTAAGTAAAAGGCACAGTTCTTTCCACAAATTCTTTTTTAAACCATCATTTTAAATATGTTTCTAAAATACTCATTAACTTTAAGTAGATTACTTACCTTGGCCAGAAATATATTACTTGTGGGCTCTGAAGAGACAAATTCTATTAAAATGGTTTCAAACAAGAAAAATTGATTCTCAGAACCATCTGTCGTAATTCCCAATAGATATTTACCACAAAAGCCTACGCTCCTTCTAAGCTGTTCCTTTCAACTCTGCCAGGACCACACCAGCACCACTGGTGGGCTGTCAGCTGAGAAAGCTGCGGCCCTTCCCAGGCCCCGCCCGCCCTCCAGGACTGCCTGATTCAACAATCGGGAAGAGGAAAGACATGCACTGCTCAAACGATGCACTCAGGATACGGAGGGAGCAGACTTCTTTCCTCCAAGCCAAGGATGCAGAAAAGCTCCCACGGTCCTAGTGGTGATGGCAACCCTGAGGATGAACGTGACCAGCAAATGGCTTCTTCAAAGGCTTACGTGCGACTCTAAGCTGCCCCCACAGTGAGCCCCCGGCATAACCCGGACTTTCTGCTCGTTTTCGTCTACATTTACAACCTCAACCTATGTCAAGTTTAGTCCTCCCATACCCCAGCTGAAAAGCCTCTTCCTGATCAAAATACTCCTTCAGATCATCCTCAACTAATCAACTAAAAACCCTCATTTCTCCCAGGAAACAGAGGAAGACGCCAAGACTAGTATCACGAGGAAGCCTGCATCCCACTGCCAGAGCGGCCATCAGAAATCCTGCACATTGACTCTGCGGCTTACTATATGCCTGAGGGCTGCCCGGGAAAGTTCTATTCCTTCTGCATGGCTAAGCAAGTTACCATCAGTTAGTTTTTATTGTGAGAGAGGATAGAGAACTAGCTTTCCAAAGATCAAAGCACCAAGAACAGAAGGCTCTGTACTCAAGGGGACTGGCCTGTGAACAGCTCCAGGGCACCAAACCCAGCAGAATTTACAGGAATGAGCCAATGATTGCACCAAGAACGTACTTATACGTGGGGGCTGCGACCAAGGAGCCAATTTACTTTTAGACTAGAAGTAATAGTAGTGAAGTTTGGATGCTATTCAATTTGAGAACGACAGACTTATTATTAAGCACCCACAAGGAAATGGAATTAGAGAGAGCTATTTGCTGGAAGGAATTTTTAAAGTATAAGGATGTTCAGAGAATCCTTTTGCTACAGGACTTCTACAAGGTCTGCCTGCAAAGAGGACTAGGGAGCTGTGCTTAGTGACGTAAGCACACGTGTGCTGGCGGTTTCCAGGCAAAATCCAAGAAAGGACCGTGTTTGTCTGGCTTCCTCAAATGTGTCCAGGATGATCCTTTGTTCATCCTATGCCTCTTCACAGACCACTCTATGAACAAGCTCAGTGGACGTCAGCCTTTTATTTCTCCTTTTCCCATCCCGTGCTGGTTACACATCTGCAATCACCCCTAACAACAGGTGCAATGCTGCTGCAGTTTGGGCCCGGCCTGCCCCTCCAGAGGCCTTTGCCAGTCTCCCTGACAACCTTGTCACAAACGCCAGGGAACCTTTCATTTCTCTGCAGAAAGTGACGTTGAAGCCCTTTTCTCTCGACAGCCCTCTCGTCCCTTGGCTGCCACGAGACCACTCGCTCCTCGTTTTCCGTCACCTCCCTGGCACCCCTTCTCCTCCATCTGCCCCTTCGAAGGTGGTTACCCTCAAGCCTCGGCTGCCCTAGGCCCTTTGGAAACTCCACACACATTCTCTGGGTGACAAGCATCCACTCTCCCACGGCTATTACGCTGACATGCTGGCAGGTCCCTGCCTGCTGTCTCCGGCCCAATTCTCTTCCCACTTACAGACGCACATCACCAGTGCCAAGCAGCACCTCTCTCTCAGAGGCTGCCTCACGAGGCCGTCACACTCAACGAGTCTAAACTGACCTCAGCACCACACCTCACGGCCACTTTTTTCTGAGTTCTCCGTCACGGTCCATGACACCACTGCCAGGCGAGCTGCCCAAGTCAAAAACCTGGAGGTCATCCTTGACGCTTGCTCTCCCTATCGCTTCACCCAATCACCACGTCTTGTGGAGTCCACCCCAGCAATGTCACTGGAACCTGTCCACTTATCTCCATCCCCACTACCACAATCTCCTGCCTGAACTATGGCAATAGCCTCCTACCCTTCTCCCTGTCATCCTACTGCCTTCCCAACAGTCCATTGACCAGGATGGTTTTCCCAGTACATCACGTCACTCTGGGCTTTAACCTTTTAATAACTTAACGCTTCTTAAGAATAGAGTCCACCATTTTACACTACGGTCATATCCTTCTTCCACCTTCAACTCAGGTCACGATGAACTTTATTCACTTAAATCCTACACTTGGCTCCACATCTCTATCCAGAGATGTTCTCTGCTTTGAACAGGCGTCACTGGCCAGCTCCTCACGCCTTTTTAACCCTTGGCTTAGGAAGCACTTCCCTCAGGGAGCCTCCTGAGACTTCCAGTGTAAGATTGGCACCTTTCCTATGTTCTCTCACAACACCCAAGACTCCCCTTCCTTGGGACATCTTCCATTAAACACATCTCACTTCACGGTGACTGAATCTGGGCCTCCCCTCTGCACCCCTGCTTCTCAGAGTCACTGTCGGCTGACAGCAGTCTCCACCAACAGACACTCTGGTGGTTTTGTATTCTAAAGTGAGCACAAAACAGGCTGTATTTTATGCTATCATTTTAACACAGAGGTTTCACTGATATAGTTTTCATTCACCAGCGTATTCTCATTTTGTTTGAAAGGTGGCATCTCATCAAAAGCCCGGACAAGAGGCGTGCTCACCAAGTCAGAGACCAAACACAGACACGGACAGGTCGCCAGGCAGGAGAAATGCGACCAGGATTAGAGTCCCACCAAGTGCCAAGAGTTCTTCACAGCCTCAACAAGGTGCTACACCATTCTTGGCGACTCAGTGCTGATACGGCTAAGGGAGGAAGACAGTGGCCACAGGGACAGACTGCAAGCCACTGATCTTCAAAGTCTACCAGGGGAGACTCAGGGCTCTGTGTAAAGCGCAACTAAAATACGCCTGTGGTTACCCTTGCTCTAGCCACATGTGGTATCCTCCCCAGTGGTTGAGACAAATCCCAAATGCATGAGTCTAGATAGTCATTTTGGTGCAGATGCACATTCTCAGCAATTATTCCGTGCTGGGTGCTGTGCGAAATGGCCCAGTTGGTACCACGTCAGCCCTGGTACGCACCCTGTGAAGCCAGCACTATCACACCTACGTTAAACGAGCCACACAGGGACCAGCTGGCCCACGACTCTCCGTCTGTACGGGCAGCTCAGGTCTGCAGCTCACGATGTTGGTTTTTTTAACCAGTCTACTATTCTGCCTCTGTAGAGTTATTATGGTGTCAGTCCCAACTCACGGGTAAAGGACGCTCCACAGGGATACCATGGTCCCTTCAGGGTGTCCTCAAAGTCAGAAGGCAGCCCTGTGTGGGCAGCAACACTTCCGGCCACCCGCTGTGACAGTGAGACACGAGGGCAGCCAACATCATCAAAGCCTTCCTCGGTGCTCAGGCTCTGCACCGGGAAAGCACTGGAAATGCACACCACCGACGTGAACCAAGACTGCGCGAAGGGCACATGCAGTGTGGCATCTTCAGAGCATGAAGATATAGAAAACCCTCCAGAGGACTGTAAAGACCTGAGCCTCAACGAGCTGACCAAGCACGGCAAGCGGCTGTCTTCTTACGGGACCAGCACGGGGTGGTACCGGGTGCCTGGGATGAAGCAGCGGGATTAGTAGAAGAGCGTTAAGTTCAGAGCGGAGGCTGAGAGGGTGTGAGAGTGAGAAGGGGCACCCGTCCGCCGTCTCTAGGACAGGGGCTCCTCCGCTCCTGGCAGTGCCTAGCTCACAACCCCACACTGCTCCCGAGCCTTCCCGTCTAACGCCTGGGCCACAGCACTGTCTGCAGTGGGCGCCATACCAGCGAAGCCCGAGGTCTGAGAAACTAGACTGCGTTCAATGGTGGCATTAACAACTCAGACTTGTGGACTGGATTTGTGAAAATGGATTTCTTATGGTTTCTTCTCCCTGGATACTGAAGGAAACAGTCAAGGTGGGACTCCCCAGTCACCTCTGAAAACATAACCTGCCATGGAAGGAACAACTTTTCCTCCAACTAGGCAGAGATGTTTCTTTAAAAGAACATGCTGTTCAAAGAAAGCAGTTCCTTGATGAGCAGCTAAAGTCTAAACGTTGAACTGCAGAATACACACGGGCAGACTCCCAAAGAGAAGGCACCCTGAATCTACACACAAACACACCCACCTCCATGGAAGAAAAGCTCTGGCAGCTCTGGCTTGTCTACCATCTGTTTCAAAGAGCCTTTCTCTCAGATGCGGGAAGAATATGTTTGAGACACAAACACCAAAACACAAAAACAGCCTAAACAAATGTATGTAAGAACTTGAGAAAAATACGTATGTCAACTGGCCCCCAGGTGCTTTCGAGCACTGAGCCCTGTCCATCAGCTCTGTCACGTGACTCTCAGCTGGTTACACCAGACCTTGAATCACTCAACCATCCTGCAGAAAGGCAACTGAACAAAGCAAGCACCCCAATGGAAGTAGCACTGAAGCGCTGTTTCTATCCTAAGGCTGAGATTGCACCTGGAGGGGACGACGCCTTCCGTCTACACTGCAGGAAATGGTGGCCGCAGTCGGCTCGCACCGTTACTCGTGTACTTGTCCTGTCCACGAGCCAAAGCACCAACTCCTTGAGGGAGGGCTGAGTCTCAAACATCTTCGGATCTCTTCTGCAACTGCTGCTGTCGTATGCCGTCGAGTCGATTCTGACTCATAGCGCCCCTATAGGGCAGAGTAGAACTGCCCCACAGGGTTTCCAAGGCTGCAATCTTTAAAAGAGCAGATCGCCAGGTCTTTCTCCTGCGGAGCTGCTGGGTGGGTTTGAACCGCCGACCCTTCGGTTAGCAGCTGAGCACTTAACCACTGTACCATTCGGGCTCCTTCTTCAGCAACTAGCAGGCTTTTAGTAACTATGTGGTTTATTAATAGATATTTCCTAGATGGTTACATGTTAATTGGTATGCTCAATACCTTTCAAAATATATTTGTATTCTGAGTGGCATACTGAGTTCAGCATGATACACTAGGGATGTAGTTAATGCATAAAAACACCCAAGGCCCCTACACATGTTACAGAGCCATTCCATTCAAGGTGGACAGCTCTGGGGCTGCCTCCACAGGCTGGCGGCAGCAGGCTCCTCAGAATTCTCGTGTAAGCATTCATAAAACAGCCTTCAGTCTCCAGTTTCACAAGGAACCAGACTCAAAACAAAGGTTCTTCATGCTGCATTTATTGTCAGAATCAACAGTCAACAGTGAGCGATGGACTAACTGCTCTTGTTCACTCGGGACATTAGTCTAGACTAGAAGGGGGTGCAGGACGCTTTATGCTACAGAGGTGCACCTGGCCTCTGGCTCCCGGCAGCAGGCAGAGTCTCAGGGATTCACGGCAGTGACGTTCCCCTTTGTGGAGACACCTCCCCTTGTCTTCCGGGTTTTCTGTAGGGCAGGAGGCACCAAGTGTTGGCCAAAAGCATTTGAAGACAGGGAGAAGAGCCTCAAATAATCAGTCTCTCAGAGGGCTCCTCTGGACATGCAGAGTGCTACACAGGCCCACTTTGGGGGTCACCATGTCAAAGCTTTATAGCTTTACTCCTTCTGTCAGAGACAAGTCAGACTAAACAGCATAGCCCTTAAGTGGCAACAAGAGGAAACTGGTGTTACCAGATAGAACACAGTAGCAATCAGTGGTTCCCGCATGTCCAAGCTCCACCGACAGGATGTGTTTCTTTGCCGGTGTAGGCTTTCTTCTCTCTTTTCTCTTTATTCTTCATTCTCTCTTTTTCCAGTTTCCATCAGATCTTGCCCCCACACATAACTGGAATCGCAAAGCTTGGTTCTTTCTCCTTTTCATCTCTCTTTTCTTGCTACTTTCCATAGAGGCCAATACAACACAGCATCCCACAGCCACACTTCAACGCTCCTCACCGACAGCTCTGAGTCTGGCGGCCAGTGGTTTGGTGAGCTGGGTCAGTTCATTCTGAAAAAGGCAAGCAAGTAATACAAAGGTGACCGCCTTCAGGCCAGCCCCTCTGAATGCTCCAGGTCCATCACCTCCTCCTAACACCCTGGCTAGGCACCAGGACACGCGCAGTGCCTGCGTGGTTCTCCCAGTCCTGTCTCCACGGAGGGCCTAACGACATTATCACGCCACAACACTTTGAAAACGTTTCTCTCAAACACAGGACGGCCCTGGAACACGTGGTGAGGAATTCAATATCCAGTTACCAAGTATTCCAGAAAAACCAGACAATTCGGTGCAGACGGTAGTATTGAGTTTGGAGGTGGGATACAAACTAGGCCCATGTACTTAAATCATTTCTAGAACCTTTCAGTGCTGCTGAGGCTCATGAGCCCCAGAGTTTCTCTCAATCTATAAAAGTTCAAAACCATTGAAGCATGCTTTAGAAAGCAAGTTGTGTGAAAATACTTAAAAAAAAAAAAAAAGTACGCTCATCACATCACAGCTCCCCTACTTACTTGCATTGTTTTTTTCCTGAGTGGTGTCTGCATCAGTGTTAGAGCTGACAGACTGACTGTCGGAATTTTTGCTGCTGTCACCTAACTTTTTGAGCCTATTTAAACGTTTATCTGTTTCTCTGAGTCCATATTTGCTATTGATAACAGGAGCAGGCGCAGGGAGTCCCGCTCTGGATTTAAAAGCACCAGTGCCCCGTCTGAAAGAGAAAAGAGAACAGATTAAGCAAACAGCGTGTGCTTACTTACAATCAGCTTGGGGGCTGAGGGTCCTTGGCCACATCATGTCAACAGATGTGGCTGACGGACGGATGAGGCCTCAGCCATCGCTGGAAATCTGCCAATTCTAGGACTCACAAAGGAAATTAAACACGCATAGAAAATTTACAAAAAAACCTCTAGATTTAAAACAGCAAAACAACTTGCTATAACTGTTGTTAATAAATTGTTAACTGTCCAGGAAAAACTACTGGGCCTTGTAGAATTTCATGTGTTGATATAAATAAACTAATTCTTCCATTTCAGAAGTGGCAGGCACAATAAACAGCTGGGTCTAAATTGTGGCTTCAAAAAACTCACCTGTTCATTACATTCCAGCTTTGTTCTGCACATTTAACACTATATTACTGATTATTGAGAATTATTGAAAAAACAAACAAACACACACAGAATTTCCTTAAATGTTAGATAAAAACAAATCCTAATTGAAACTCTGTGTAAGAAGGAGACTCGGCTCTATTGGTGAAACTCTGACCTCTGGAATATTAAAAACTGTTAAATAATTCCTTTAAAGTTTCTGAAAGAAGCATGAAGCATTAAAAGTTAACAAAGCGTTCCTAAAGGAAAGGCACCGAAGACCGGCCTTGCGCTTCTGGAGAAGAGCGCCTTCTAACCTGCTTTAGCTGCTGCTGTTGATGTGAGCTCTTCCGAAGTACAGGAGGGTACTTCATAAAAGGTGGACCCGAGCTTCCCCAACAAATCTAACTTTGCAAATCTTTGCTCTCTTCGGTGGATAAAGGTAAATTTCTCATCAGCTCTACTCAAAATAAGTAACTTCTGAATTAATGAGGTAAAAAACCCACTGCACTGACCTGCCTCTCCTCGGCTTCAGCCTGCTAGAGGAAAGCCACACCGTTACAGCTCCTGAACCACGGCACCATCATGCACACCTTCACATAAAAGCAGTGCTGCCTCCAAACATCCCGTGTGATTCCCTTCCTTCAGGGTTTAGGTGACGGAAAACAACTTTTCTCCCACAGAGTAGTAGTGTGTCTCACCTCTTACTAAGCATCAGCATGTTCTCCCCTCTCGATGCTAGTGAGCACAGACCTAAACCTACTGCCTAATCACAGGAATGATTTTTGGTACTTAAGGATAGCATTCTGGCTTCTTCACATTCCTACAGTGAATCTGGAATTCCACTTTCATTTAATATTATTGTAGAAACGTGGAAGAACCTCTAGGTAATTTTCACCAATGCAGGTAATCAGTTATACTCCATGTTAAAATATATTTAAAAAGTAAATGCATAAATCCCAAAAGGCTACTTCATTTCATAAAGAGTAAGAAATTACTTTCAGACATTCCATGTCTCTTTACCATAACTTGTAACATTTTTGGTTCATTTCTAGAAAGATGGGCCATACTTAAAGTACGTTTAAACACAAAATAAATGAACATGGTGGAAACATTTTACTTGGAAATTAGAATTCTTTTAATAAAACCCTTCCTTTCTTCTGCTTCTCCATTTCTCTTACTTCTTCTTATTGCTGCTTGCTGCAGCAAATGAAACAGTCCCAGGATACATATTTAAAGCAACAGTTAACAGTATTTCCCACCCACCCTCCATCCCCAGCACCCTGACGGACCAGTGCTAACCACTGTCAACAGTGTCTTATTCCGCTCCTCTTACCATGGTCTACGCATCTATTTCCATGGTCGTTTCTTTTTAAGCAACAAGAAGCAAACAGGACGTTATACATTTCACTCTGCAACCACTGTATCATGGGCTCCATTCGTTCATTGCCCAAGTATTTATCAAGCACCTACTATGTGCCAGCTACTGTTCTGATTCTGGCAACACAGCAGTAAATGAACCAGATAAAAGTCCCTGTCTTCATGGAGCTTAGAATCTAAGGGGACAATAAGCAGAAACCACAGAATCACGTGACAGCTCATATCTGAGCATCAACTGTGTGCTGCTCTACACGCTCTGTGTGAGGCGACAAACGAATCCTCGCAGGGACCTTAGGAGGCAACGTCTAATACTCCCCCATTGTATGGATGGGGCAGTCAAGGCACAAAGCAGTTCAGCAACCTGGCCAACATCACCCAGCTGGTGAACTACAGTGTTGCTGGATTCCACCTCAGGGAGGCCAACTCCAGGTCTCAGATCTTACCCACTACACCAGGCTGCTGTCTCTACGCCAGGATTTTAAAGCATTATTATCAAACTGTAATTAAATTACCTCAGAGACTTAAGGGGTTTTTTTTTGGGGACTGGTCTTAGATTTAACCAACACTTGAATTTTTTTTTAAGGTGGAAAAAGATAAATTTTATGGCAAAAAGAAAAGCAAAAACTCAGCAACATCAGGAAGAGGCCTTCTGCCCTCCCTTCAAGGCTGGGAGCGAGATGGTCGGGGCGGTCCTGTGGATCCACCCTCTCCCACTACACACGTGGAGACCACCGGCTGCCCAGAAAGACAGGACGTGGTGACTCTGGGGACTCGCCCACCTCTCCCCCAGCTAGCTGAGTGTAGGCTGGTGTTGGCAGTGGGGGAGTGGCACTACTAGCTGACATCTTTCCTCAGAGCCGCCGTATGAAAGTGGAGGGAACAGGGCACTGAAGTGAGGCTGTGATGGGTTCAGAGATGTAAGCTTCTGAACTTGCAACACGGCCACATCCCTAGCTCCCTCTCAACTGGGTGGCTGTGAGGACAGCCCAGCAGAGTACAGGGTTCACAAATGGGCCTCCCGCCCTGCGTGGCCTCCTGCCCCGGGTGGCCTCCGGCCCCATATAGCCTCCTGTGTCTGCACTGCACTGTGACGGGAGCCCTCCGTTAGCACACTCCTGGATGTGCCCGAAGAACTCCCCTCACGGAGCTGGTGGACACAGACGTCAATACGACAAGGTGTGAGTGACAGGCCTCCCAAGGTGGATTCGGGGGTCTCTAGACGGGCCAAAAAAGAGGTTCCTCTCTGAGTGCCAGCAAGGGGTGGGAACTGTGAACATCAAAACACGAAAATTCCAGAAGACGCAGCTTGAAATAGGCCAGACAACTTCATGGTTTTCACATGACTATCCATGATGAACTTCCCCTGCTATTTTTTGGGCAACTCCACTCTGACACTGGGGGTGTGGGTGAGTGAGTGAGTGTGTGTGTGTGTGTGAGAGAGAGAGAGGTATTTCCCATTCTCTCTTTAAGTACATCTGTATTCTGACTAATAAGAATAACAGCTGGTAGTATTCAGATTTTAAAGGGTCAGGTGCCAGTGTCCCGAAACAGTCCTGTATCATTTGATGTTGTTCATGCAAACGGTACTGGGTGCTACGCTGTAGAACAGAGAGGATTATCCCTGCATTCAAATGATAAAGAGAGGATGCAAGTCAGTCCCCATAGCCATCAGGTGGTTAAAAGAAGGTAAAAGCTGGAAATCCCATGAATACTTTACCTTTCACAAGTGTAACACTCGCAGAACTCATTATTTTCTCCAAAAAACCCATCTCCGTAATAACAAGAAATTTCTTCTCCAGGTTCAATATCTCTCAAAGCCTTCACACATGCTGTGTCTCGACCAGTTGAGACGAACTGCAACAAAAGCCACTGGTGAAGAAACTGACCCCCGAAGCTGAGACAAACACTTGAGCTAACATACCATTGTTTTCTGCTTACCTTGCAGTTAGGTCTGCAATCTGAAAAATGTCCAAAAGATAAAGTCAATTAACTGTTGATAAGATCTGAAACACGAACAATTACAGAAATCTGACGTAAGCTTTCCATATAATTCTACAACTTCTGATAGAAGGCTAGGTTAGGTGCCAAGTTAATCTTTCTTTTAAATGTATTTGTGAAGAAAGACTTTGTATTTCAAACCCTCCTTAGACAAGTATGTCTAGTTCCTTTAAAATTCTATTCCCTAAGGATTTTACTGAGTTTGGTCTAAGGTCACTCTAACGTCCAGCAGGACGGCCCAACACCAGTGCTACCGCCTTAGAAACGCAGCTTACCATGGTTTATGAAGGCAGCAGGACCAAGCCAGAGCTGAGCACAGTTTTTCCTCGTGGAATACATGACACTGAAGTCGTTCTCTCCATGTCTAAGCAGCATGTTCTCCTCAATTTCTGAAAGTTCGGCAATACAACCCACCAGTAATTCTATTTTGTCATTTCGTTTCCTATTTAAAATATGTTATGTGTTAAAAATTACTAGTAATTATAAATAATAAGGCTTCTTTTAATAAAATAAGCCTGCCCAGTAAATACCAGGAATTGAGAAGACCTAGCTTTGTATATTTTAGCCTACTCACTTGGCTCCCACCTGGGCATCTTCATCCTGGAAGCCCCACAGCCTTGTACTAGTTACTTGTGTATCTGCTGTACCCCTGTGTGAGACAGGAACTGGGCCACCTCTGTCTCTGAAGCCCCTGCAGCACTGAATTCACCTGCCGACCACCGGGAAGAAGGAGGCTGCGACCAGCGGCAGTGAAGGGTCACGAGACCCCAGATTTGTACCACCACCTCTAGAGCAGCATCGACTAATGGAGATATACTGTGGGCCACATGGGAACCTTATATTTTCTAGTAGTCACATTAGAATAGTGGAAACAGGTAAAATTACTTCTAATAATATATTTAACCCAATATATCCCAAACACTATTTCAGCAGGTAATCAATACGAGAGACACGGAGGAGAAACAGAATATGAAGGCTGGTGTGTACAGCACACTCACAGCACTTCTCACTTCAGACTAGCCGTCTCCAGAGCTCATGAGCCCCTGCAGCTGGTGGCTGCTGTCGTGGACAGCGCAGCCCTGGAACCTGAGGTCTCAAACCCCCAGCCCATCCACAACACAAGGAGCCTCAAGAGCCAGGAAGCAGGCTCGAAACCACCCCAAGGTAAAACACCCACACTCACACACACCCACCCAAGACACCTGGGAGTAATGCTCTTCTGCCCATTCCATTTTTAGGTACCTGACCCCCATAATTTATGGTCTAAGAAACATGGAGGAGTGTACATCAGGAGCAGTAAGGTAGGAAACAGGCATCAGAAAATACAGTCACATCACACGGTCTCCTCATCTATGACTTCCATCCCTCCTAGCTGGGCTCAACTTGACTACTTTTATTTAAGCTGGCACATATGTGTGCATATATGTATAAACAGGCAAGGCTTTAGGAAGTTTCCATCAGGAAGTTCCTAGGATCATTAGGATTTCCTCCCCAACCTTTCTTCTAGGCCAGTAAAGAGTGACTCCGGAAGCCAGGTTATCCAGCTCTGGCTCCTTGGCCTTCCAGGAGTCTGGTCACTTAGCAGATATCTGGCTCCATAAAAGGAAAACGAGAGCACGCTGGCCTAGAGGTGGGTCTGGTCAAGCTGAGACTCCTAGTTCCACTGTCCTGACTTAGCGATGGCCTCAGCCAGGCAAGGACACTGCAGTGGCTCCTTCTGAGTAAGCGCTGGCTTTGTTCCTTCCCATGAATGTCACAATACTTTAACACTAATTTCAGAGACAACTTTAAGTAGAATTAAGAGTTTGTACTAGTGTAATAGTTACCACTCTTTTGTTGCAACTATTTTGGCTCCATTTTGTTCTGATGAGTATCTATTACAAGGCAATATCTCAAATCCACTGTCAGTTGCAAACATTCGCAAGTAAATAAATACCTAAAACAGGAAAAAGAATTTGACATTAACTTTATCCTAAACTGGTTATCCTGCTAGTCTGTCTCAGAATTATAAAAACCACCACCAACAATGTAAAAAATGTAAGATCATTAAGTAACAAATTTTATTGTTATTTTAAAATTTCAGATATCTGGTAGTATCTAATAGCTTGGCTATGTTACTCTAAAGGTTCACAATGAATTTTACTTCTAGGTGACAAAGTTTTCTCTTTGAATAATCATCCAAACGGTCTTCTTATGTGTTACATGAGCTTCATACTGATTAGTTAGTTTTAAGGCAAACTGACTTAAAGTTTCAGTGTTCACTACAGTTTAGACTTTAGTTTCCTTTACTCTTATTCAAACAGACTGATGGTATTAATCTGCTTAATAAACCTACATGTTCTTTGAATAATTTCTCCTGCATTTTGCTCTTGTTAAGAAAATACTGCCGTGCCCATTCGCCTGAAGTCAAACATTTGAAGGCTTTCTCCAAGTGCTCATCTTTCTTAAAACGCTCTATCACTTCCTTCAGTTCTTCTTGCCTGCCTTTAGTAGGCCGAAACCTGAAAGAAATACAAACAGCTAGTTTAGTTACTTGCCACCATCTTGGGCTACTGATCTGACTTAAGAGATCTTGAGCAAAAGAATAACGCTCTAAAACCAGCCATGGTTTTCAGAGCACAGATCCAACAAAAGAGAACAACCAATAATCTTGATAATTATTACTTAAGTAATAGTGATTATCAGAGAATAGAACCTCTCTTTCTTCAAACTGTATTTAATTTTTTTTTATTTGTTATCTCATTAACTGCAAGATCACTGATGATTCACACAAAAGCCGTCTGCTTCAGGCTTCTACTGGTCGTCTACTTTGAAAGGTACAGAAGAAAAGATCTAGAATAAAGCAGAATACAGCATGTCTAACTGAGCGCCAGAATGACGAGAATTTTTAAAACATGCAGAATCAAGCCGGAAGAGGGCAAGGCAAGGCGCTTCAGAAGAACGATGAAGCAAACGAAGGCATGCCATCAGCAGAAACATTCTCTACGTACACCGCCAGAAAAACCCCAAGCTAAGTATCCCGATGGGTCTGGAAACACACCTTGATGTTCCAACCACCCATGTCAAATTAAGCTTTGATAACTGCATCCAGAAAACAAAAAGAGTGCAAAAAGTACAAATCTGGCAGTGAAACTGCTTCATGGTGAAGTAAGTAAAACAATGTGGGGGTAAAGTTTTAAAAGGCTCCTGTTGTAAGTCAGTTACAACAACTTCAGAATATTACACTGCTAGATATATATTAGAAGGTCCCTGGGTGGTCTGGGTGCTGCAAACAGTTCGTGCTTGACTATTAACTGAAAGGTTCAAATTCACCCAGTGGTACAACGCAAGAAAGCCCTGGCAATCTACTTCTATAAGATTACAGCAAAGAAAACCGTATGGAGCAGTTCTATTCTGAAACACTGAGATCACCATGAGCCAGAAATGACTCGACGGCAATGGGTCTGGTCTACTGGTTTAGGCGTGTATTAACACACGATATAATCATGGTCCAAGGAAGACTTAAATCTGTGAGCCCCTCACTCTAAAGCTGCTTTGCATTAAAACGTGGTTACTATGATTAAAGATACTTGGATCTTAATTTCAGAATTTCTTCTCATGTCAACTTTATTTGGTTAATTTTCCCAAATAGTTTTTATTTTACATAACACCCAACAGAAAAAAGGAATTACAGACTGCCATTCAAATAAAACACATTAAGAAAATAACAACAGTGGCTAAGGAGAAAAGATATTTGAACCATGCATCTTACTCTAACATGTAAAACCATGCTCTTAATCTGAAAATACTAAAGCTGAGATAGGCTCTAGTACAAACTCCAGAAGAGGAAGCACCAAAGCAGAAATTATTTCCCAGATAAGCTCCCACAAATGTATTCATAACATTTTAGTTAAGATTTTAAGCCACAATATTTCATCGAGGATTATTTACTGGGTGCTGTTGTACACAGCAGCACCTGAAGTGCTACGTAAAAATACAAGAGACAGAAAACACGGCCCCTGTTCTTGGCCAATTTAATTGGGAATAAAAAACATATACATGCATCACACAGTTAAGCAAGGCATCAATATGCAAATGCATGTTATTACAGTAAAAACTGCACTCTACAGCATTCAAGAAGTATGAAGATTATAACCAAGGAATGAGATTTGTTTGGGAAGGGTTTTCGGAATTGACATTGATATGGGCAATGAAGAAAGTGGTGAATTTAGCTTTCGAAAGCAGCAGCAAATATTACTATAGACAGGAAGGAATAAAAAGAATGAAGTTAGAGCAAGGGAAAGGTCGAGCACAGGATCTTAATAAGGCTGGGCTCAAATAGTTGAGTAGAAGCAGGGCAAGTCAGCTGGCTAGCAACAGGAAAGTACTAGAACAAGAGAGAGAGAAGACGTGAGGTACAGAGCAGGTGTAATACTATCTCCTGGGTGAGACCGAGAAGACTTCAGATCTATTAACGCGCACGGACACCACTAGAAACTTACTAGCTAAAGACCCTAGTACGCCTGAAGGCTCACAATTAAACAGAATTCTCTGACAGAGCTCGCACACACTCCAGAGACACCATATGAAGAAATGGACGACGCCCGACTTCTAGTTTACATTCGCAGTCAATTGGCATACAAGCCCTCACACACGAGTCAAAGTCCTTTAAATAATGTCAGAATACGGTGTCAGAGGACAACCACTAAGATCACCTAACTTCCATGTAACTGTAATACTGAACTGCTTCTTGTTGTGGCAGTGCCAAGTGAGTCGGCTTCAACTCATAGCGACCCTGTGTGCAACAGAACAAAATACTGCCTGGTCCTGTGCCATCCTCACAATCGGTGCTATGCTTGAGCCCATCTTTGCAGCCACTGTCAACCCATCTCGCTGAGGGTCTTCCTCTTTTTTGCTGACCCTCTATTTTACCAAGCATGATGTTCTAATTCAGGGACTGGCCCCTGCTAATAACATGTCCAAAGTAAGCTGAGACGAAGCCTCACCATCCTTGCGTCTAAGGAGCATTCTGGCTGTACTTCTTCCAAGTCAGATGTGTTTGTTCTTCTGGGCAGTCCATGGTACACTGAATATTCTTCGCCAACACGATATTTCAAAGGCATCAATTCTTCAGTCTTCCTTATTCATTGTCCAGCTTTCGCATGCATATGAGCCGTCTAAAAATACCATGGCTTGGGTGAGGTGCACCTTAGTCCTCTCAAATTGATATCTTTACTTTTTAACACTTTAAAGAGGTCTTTTGCAGCAGATCTGCCCAATCCAATATATCGTTTGATTTCTTGACTGCTGTTTCCAGGGTGTTCATTGTGGATCCAAGCAAAATGAACTCCCTGACAACTTCAATTATTTTCTGATAATGATAATGATGTTGCTTATTGGTCTAGCTGTGAGGATTTTTGTTTTATGTTGAACTGTAATCCATATTGAAGGCTGTGGTCTTTGATCTTCATCAGTAAGTGCTTCAACTCCTCTTCACTTTCAGCAAGCAAGGTTGTGTCATCTGCACATGACAGATTGTCAATGAGTCTTGCTGCAATCCTGATGCCACAGTCTTCTTCACATAGTCCAGCTTCTCGGATTATTTGCTCAGCATACAGATTGAATAAGTATGGTGAAAGGATACAACCCTGATGCACACCTTTTCTGATTTTAAACCACACAGTATTCCCCCGTTCTGTTCAAATGTACAGGTCTCACGTGAGAACTAAGCGTTTCGGAATTCCTATTATTTGTAATGTTATCCATAATTTCTTACAATCCAAACAGTCACTGCCTTTGCATAGTCAATAAAACACCGGTAAGCATCTTTCTGCTAGATCCATCTGACATCAGCAATGATATCCCTGGTTCCACATCCTCTTGTGAATCCGGCTTGAATGTCTGGCAGTTTCCTGCAGATGTACTGGTGCAATGGCTTTTGAATGATCTTCAGCAAAATTTTACTTGTGTGCGACATTAATGATAATGTTCGATAATTTCTACATTCTGTTGGATCACTTTTCTTCCAGGCAGTTGGCAAAGTGTCTCTTAGCTATCTAGTGCTGCTATAACAGAAATACCACAAGTGGATAGCTTTAACAAAGAGAAATTTATTCTCTCACTGTCTAGGTAAGCTAGAAGTCCAAATTCAGGGCGTCAGCTCCAGGGGAAGGCTTTCTCTAATGGCTCTGGAGAAAGGTTCTCCAATCTTCCCCTGAACCGGGTGCAGGGACCCCAGGTCCTAAAGGATGCGTTCTGCTCCCGGCGCTGCTTTCGTTGTGGTATGTGGTATGTCTCTCTGATAGCATCTCTCTTTTATATCTCAAAAGAGATTGGCTTAAAACACAGTCCAATCTTGTATAGTCAGTCCTGCCTCATTAACATAACTGCAGCTCATTCCATCTCATTAACATCATAGAGACAGGATTTACAACACATAGGAAAATCACATCAAATGACAAAACGGTGGACAATCACACAATACTGGGAATCATGGCCAAGCCAAGTTGATAGATATTTTGGGGGGACCCAATTCAATCCGTGACATCAGGTAAGTGTCTTCCAAATTTCTTGGCACAGAAGAGTGACGGCTTCCAGCGCTGCATCTGTTTGCTGAAACATCTCCGTTGGTATTCTGTCAATTCTCGGAATCTTGTGTTTTGCCAATGCCTTCAGTGTAGCTTGGACCTCTTCCTTCGGTACCATCGGTTCTTGATCATGTGCTGCCTCCTGAAATGGCTGAACGCTGACCAATTCTTTTTGGTACAGTGACTCTGTGTACTCCTTCCACCTTCTTTTAATGCTTCCTGTGTCATTCAATATTTTGCCTACAGAATCTTTCAATATTGCTACTCAAGGCTTGAACTTTTTCTTCAGTTCTTTTAGCTTCAGAAACGCATGTTCTTCCCTTTTGGTTTTCTAACTCCAGGTCTTGACTACTGCTTCCACGGGTATTGATTGTGGATCCAAGTAAAATGAAATTCTTGACAACTTCAATCTTTTCTGTTTATCATTATGTTGCTTATTGGTCCAGTTGTGAGGATTTTTGTTTTCTTTATGTGGAGGTATAATCCATACTCATTATAACCCTTTACCTGCAGCCATCACAATTTTATCAAGACAGGATCTTTAAGAACTCAGTGGGAACCGTTCTTGCCACAACCCTGTACTTCTGGGTTATTTGCATACGAAGGACAGATAAGACAACAAAGCAGCTGTTAGCTAAAGCATAACACTTCAAGCATTGTGAAATATGAAATGGTAGGGAACAAACAAGCCATGTTTTGCACAGTAATCAGAAAAGCAACAGTTCACTTTGAGCAAAAGAAATTAATAATACATGGCGTTAAATCGTAGAGCTACAAACAACAGAAAAAGCCCAGTGACCTTTACACGTTCAGCGTGGACTTGGCCAGTGGGGACACTCTATCCTGAAATAACTGCGGGGCTCAACACATTATCAAGGAAGTCAGAAGCAGGGCTAAGTTCCCCTAAAGCCCTAAGAACGTTACAGAAAAATACGTTACAGGCCTGGAAAGGACACTAGCTATTTTTGATAGGCTTTATGTGTATTCAGCCCTTTCTAAAGCATGTTCCTTCGCAGCTAAAAATGCCTTTTATGTGTTCTTAGTTTTGTTTACTCTTTGTTAGATGGCAAACAATTTATATGCCAAAACCAATACAAAATAATCTACTCTTATTTAGGAATATTGTTCTGCCTTCCATCTTTCCTGTGTTGACTTTTGTTTCTGCTTTCCTGACTTCCACTGCCTCAAACACAAATAAAACCCCAAACTGTCCCATTACTGTCCCTTGCTACTAGTAGCAAGAACTTCCACTTCACTGAAAATGTCATTTACTGTTCCAAAACTGTTAACACTTACTATCACAGTTGGCTGCTACAGGCATGAAGCGAGAGTGAGGAAAATGGTTATGGGTGCAGACAGGAAAGAGAAAAGACAGTTGTTTTCAAAAATCCCAGAGAAGTACATCAAATTCACTTGGTTGATAGTTCAAGTCAAATCCCATGATAACAAATACTGTGCGAAATAAAAATAATTTAATACCATAAGGCTGTTAAAACTAGTAAGGCCAGAGCAATAGCCACTGAGGACGTTAGGGGGAAAAAAACTTCTATTATCGAATAGAAAAATACTCTCTCTCCTCTCCTTAACCATAATCCCTCCAAACCTCCCATTCAAATGGCATAAAACCAACCTCACACCATGGCACTTAAAGCTGGAAAAAAATAGGCAGATTATCCAATCCAGCCCTCTTCTTTCACAAATGAAGAAAATTAGACTCAACGAGGCCAAGTCGTTTGCACAAGGACTCAGGGCTCGTCAGTGAAGAACTGGGACTATTAGCTAGGTCTTTTTTGTTCCTACTTTTTCTGGACAATGAGAGCCTGGATTGAACAGTAATTCATCAGCCACTTATCTGACAATAATGCCATATATTTAAACTCCCAGTTTCGACAACTAGCAGCTTTGGAAGGAAGTTAGCCAAGAGGCTCGTGTTTCTTGCTTCTTTTCAGACTTGGCTAAAGACTCTGGTTTGTTATGTCCCACCCCTTCCCCACGTCTCATAGGGGTCTCCCTGCCCCCTGTTAAATGCCTATTACCAAAAGAAACAGAACAGGAAAAGAAAAATCTACTCATTTTACCAAGTTTATTTTGTAGCTGGCAACCTAACTGCACGCAACAATACAAACCCGGGGCTATGGGTCAGCAGCCAGACTGCACTCCTGCGCCTAGTGACCGGAACAGGACGTGACATGGGTGTGTCCCCGGGCCCCTGGCGCTGAGCTCAGCCAGAGGCAGCTCAGGCCTGTACCCTGACACTGCAGTGACAGGAATGAATGCAAACCTATCTTTACATCTCGTATTCGAGGTGGGGGCCACAGGGGCGGCAAGAGAAAGAGGTACTTGCCATTTCCAAATCAATGTGCCCCCTCTTCCCTCTTCTTAACATAAAATTTGCTACTTTAAATAACCAAGCATATTTATTTTTTTCTTCCCACACCTCTGATCAATGGCTGGTATCATAAAAAGATGTCATTTACATTGGCTATTATTAAAAGGGAGAGGAAAAAAAAAATGAACTCACACTCCCACACACCTGTGCCCCACTCTTTCCAGAGAATGGCTTCCCAGGCTTTCTTGCTATTTGATTTTTCTGTCTCCAGACCCCAGAGACCACTGTGGCAATGAAGAAAGCTTAAGTTTGTATTAGCTGTGCTACCACGCCCTCCATCCATGTACAACACCGAGAGGTGACTGGGGGCGGGGCAGAAGGGGACAGAAAACGGGGGAAAGGGAAGGAGAGAGGCAGAGAGAGAAACATGCTCACAGATTTAAGATCTACAACAAGAACCCTTGAGGCAACACAGTGAACACATGTCCCCTCTGAAGAAAGTCTGACTGCACACGGACAGCTGGCAGATGGGGAGACCAGTCATGCTAGAACCACAGCGCTTCATTCCTTCTCGACCTGAAAATAAACAAGAACCAAAACATACCTGACTGAGTCCTGCACCCAGTGCTCAGCTAATCCCAGGGAGTGACTCCTGATCTTTGGATGAATGATTTGTTTCTCTTAAAATTACCCTGTTATGGAGTACAAGTGGTTTTCTTTAAACAGAGCTATTACTAAAACCAAACTCTTTTAAAAGGTTTGCAAAACTACTGTGTTTAGGCTGACATCTCGAATTAGTTAACAGAACAGAACATTGTAGTGGCTAAAGCAGGTTAGCTCTGATCATATTCTTGTTCGTAATGCACTCTACCTACCTCACGGGGTTGTTGTGAGGCAAACTGTCCGATTTTGAAAAATGCCTTGAGCTCCTCGCAGGAAAGGCGCTACAGAAACACAAAAACAGTAAAAAACTCTTGGTATATTTCTAATTTCTAAAAAGACTTACAATATTAGTTGTAGCAAATATTCTTAAAACACTGTGATATTCAAGAACTTTATAAAGCCATCTGTAGGCTCAGAAGGATAACAAAAGGCAGTTTGCTAAAATTCTTTCCTTTTTCTACGTAGTTTTATCTTTGATTATATTAAGTCAGGTCTAAAAATGTTCTTTATGCACAGTCAAGCACCTGATTTTAAAGTGATACGTAAAGTGATTTATAAGTTTACGTCCAACAGTGGATACAAGTCATCAAATACATTAGTAAGTACAATAAAAACTGGATGGCCACAGCAATGCAAGGAGGAAGCAAGCAGTGTCCCGGCTGAACTGTGGGTCAGAAAAACCAGGAAAAGCTCCAAAGAAAAGGTGCCCTGCAGTGACCTTTCTCATTTCCTGATAACGCGACTTCCTGCTCCCTGCTCTCCTAGGCTCTCTCCGACTCCTCAAGAGATTCCCAAATCTCAGGGTTGTGCAGCCTACACCCAGGGTCTTCCTGAAAAGCACCCACCCAGCTTTACAGTATCCTTCCCCCCCTCACCCCCACCCATTTTTAAATCACAGGTATTACCAACACGTCCATTCTCTGATTAAAAGAAGAATGTCTAAGTTCCATTACTGACAAAAGTCAATTAAATCCAAATTCTTCCCAATCAATCAGAATTACTATTTTGTTTATACTGTTTCTAGATATAGGGATATATGCCGATTAAAAGATAAGCATTCAAAAAGAGTCAGTTTGGAAATTCTCAAATCACTGAACAGCTACTGTTTCTCGACACTGTTCTTGCTGGTACACTGAAGGGAGGAGGGAGGGAAAGGCGATGGAAACAGAGAACCTGAAGCTGACAATCAAATTACAGACGCACGAACATAAAGAGACCAATGAAACAGAACAGCACACAGACAGCTCTGCAAAATTAAAACGCGAGATCCAATTACATCTTTCAGTCACCTCTTTTGCACCCTAAAGAAGTCTCTCATAATGTAAGAAGTATTTATTGGTTATCTACTATTCTAACAAAACACTGTAGGTTGTCCTTATTTTCTACATAATAGCATCTTTGAAAATGATATAAGTAAATTCTTGCTCAAAAGATGAAGAACTAAAAAGGATACTTTGATCTTCAGATAAATCCACTAACTGAAAAGGTGGGCCTTTCACTCAGATTAATATACTTCATTAATAACATTCCTGTGCATTCCCCAAATGTCCGCTTAGAAGAGTTTTTTTTTTTTTTTTTAAAATATCTTTAAAATTAAAGCCTCTGGTGAAATGCAGACAGGACTCTCCGGTAAAACGACAACAACTGCACACCCACGCTGGCCTGAAGTGCGGACACTGCTACACAGCCAACCTGGTCTGTCCAGGGGAGAAGGATCAGCCCACCACCCAAGGCCAGCTGGGGAACCGTAAGAGCAGAATTAAATGTTGCGCTGAAAATATAAAACGCTTTCTTCTGCACGTTTAACTTGATTAGCCAGTTTTAATTTCAGATGCTTCAATTTCTAGGGGAAAATAATTTGTAGTTGATGCATTTCAATTTAGGGGTCCTCCAGATATAGTAAGGTCTTGCGTTTTAGTAACATTTGAGTGGTAATCCTGAACTTGATATTTTATGACTAATGGGTTTTAAGCGAGCCCTAGGGAACTACTGATAAGACCTTTGTATTCATTTATCATGCTCCAACAAAACGCAGTAGGCTAGATGGTTTGTTGCTGTTGCTGTTAGGTGCTGTCACGCTGGTTCTGACTCATAGCGATCCCACGTACAACAGAAAGAAACACTGCCCGGTCCTGCACCATCCTCACAACTGTCGTTACGTTTGAGCCTACTGTTGCAGCCACTGTGTCAATACACCTTGTGGAGGGTTTTCCTCTTTTTCCCTGACCCTCTACTTTACCAAGCATGATGTCCTTCTCCAGGGACTGGTCCCTCTGGATAGTATGTCCAAAGTACGTGAGATGAAGTCTCGGCATCCCTTGTAGCTAATGAGCATTCTGGCGGTACTTCTTCCAAGAGATTTGTTCATTCTTTTGGCAGTCTATGGTATATTCAATATTCTTTGCCAACACCACAATCCAAAGACACCAATTCTTCTTCGGTCTTCCTTATTCACTGTCCAGCTTTCACATACACACGAGGCGACTGAAAACACCATGCCTTGAGTCAGGCACACCTTAGTCCTTAAAGTGACAACTTTGCTTTTTAAAATTTTAAAGAAGTCTTTTGCAGCAGATTTGCCCAATGCAATGCGTCATTTGATTTCTTGACTACTGCTTCCACAGGTATTGATTGTGGATCCAAGTAAAATGAAATTCTTGACAACTTCAATCTTTTCTGTTTATCATTATGTTGCTTATTGGTCCAGTTGTGAGGATTTTGTTTTCTTTATGTTGAGGTATAATCCATACTCAAGGCTGTGGTCTTTGATCTTCATCAGTAAGTGCTTCAAGTCCAAGTCCTCTTCACTTTCAGCAAGCAAGGTTGTGTCATCTGCATAACCCAGGCTGTTAATGAGTCTTCCTCCAATCCTGATGCTGCATTCTTCTTCATATAGTCCAGCTTCTCAAGATTATTTGCTCAGCATACAGACTGAATAAGTATGGTGAAAGGATACAACTGATGCTCACCTTTCCCGAATTTAAACCACGCAGTATCCCCTTGTTCTGTGTGAACGACTGCCTCTTGGTCTAAGTACAGGCTCTTCATGAGCACAATTAAGTGTTCTGGAATTCCCATTCTTCCCAACGTTATCCATAATTTGTTATGATTCACACAGTCAAATGTCTTTGCATAGTCAATAAAACACAGGTAAACATCTTTCTGGTATTCTCTGCTTTCAGCCAGGATCCATCTGACATCAGCAATGATATCCCTTGCTCCACGTCCTCTTGTGAATCTGGCTTGAATTTCTGGCTGTTCCCTGTTGATGTACTGCTGCAACTGCTTTTGAATGATCTTCAGCAAAATTTTACTTGTGCGTGTGATATTAATGATACTGTTCAATAATTTCTGCATTCTGCTGGATCACCTTTCTTTGGAATGGGCACACATATGGATCTCTTCCAGTTGGTTGGCCAGGTAACTGTCTTCCAAATTTCTTGGCATAAATGAGTGAACACTTCCAGCGCTGCATCCATTTACTGAACATCTCAATTGGTAGCCCATCAGTTCCTTGAGCACTGTTTTTCACCAATGCTTTCAGTCAGTTTGGACCTCTTCCTTAAGTACCACTGGTTCTTGATCATATGCTACCTTCTGAAATGGCTGAATGTCAACCAATTCTTTCTGGTACAGTGACTCTGTGTACTCCTTCCATCTTCTTTTGATGCTTCCTGGGTTGTTTCGTATTTTACCCATAGAACCCTTCAATATTGAAACCGAAGCTTGAATTTTTTCTTCAGTTATTTTAAGCTTGAGGAACGCCAAGCATGTTCTTCCCTTTTAGTTTTCTATCTCCAGGTCTTTGCATGTCACTATAATACTTCACTTTGTCTTCCTGAGCCACTCTTTGAAATCTTCTGTTCAGCTCTCTTACTTCATCATTTCTTCCATTAGCTTTAGCTACTTGATGTTCAAGAGCAACTTTCAGAGTCTCTTTGACATCTGTTTTGGTCTTTTCTTTCTTTCCTATCGTTTTAATGATCTCCTGCTTTCTTCATGCATGATGTCCTTGATGTCATTCCACAACTCTGGTCTTTGGTCATCAGTGTTCCAAGTGTCAAATCTATTCTTGAGATGGTCTCTAAATGCAGGTGGGATGTACTCAAGGTCATACTCTGGCTCTTGTGGACTTGTTCTAATTTTCTTCAACTTGAACTTGCACAGGAGCAACTGATGGTCTGTTCCATGTTCAGCCCCTGGCCTTGTTCTGACTGATGATACTGAGCTTTTCCGTTGTTTCTTTCGATTTGATTCCTGTGTATTCCATCTGACGAGGTCCATGTGTACAGTCGTCGTTTATACTGTTGAAAAAAGGTATCTGCAAAGAAGTCACTGGCTAGATGGTTTCAAATCCATTGCCGACGAGTCAATTCCGACTCACAGCGACCCTACAGGACAGAGCAGAACTGCTCCATAGTTTCCAAGGAGCGCCTGGTGGATTTGAACTGCTGACCTTTTGGTTAGCAGCCGTAGCACTTAACCACTACGCAACCAGGGTTTCCCTAGATGGTTTAGGACCTTGCTATTCCAAGTGTAGTCAGGGAACCGGTTAGAAATGCAAAATTCAGACCCTATCACAAATCGCCTGAATCTGTAAACCTGCATTTTAACAAGATTCCCAAGTGATTCAGATGGACACCAGGAGGACTTCTATGGAAAACTGAAGTTATTTCCTATTGCAGAGGCCAGTAACAGGCAACACTACGCCATCTAACATAGGTGAAGCACAGCGGTTCTGATTACCAAGTTCCTTCCAGAAGCCGTTAGAACTTTTCATTGTAATTTTGACAGAACTCTTTTTAAGATGTACTACATGCTCCCATATCTCAGTAGACAAGGCATAAAGAACATAATTTAACTCTTGATTACTCTAGTTCATAACTGTGGGTCTCAATTTTTGCAGTGACATCCTGAATGCCACTCAACTGCTAAGTGAAACAGTGACTCACGTGCTCACACTTCTGAGCCCAGCAAAGAGAAAGGCTATACAGTGACTTCAATACTATCAGGATTTTACAGAAGGAGATGATCACTGGCCTCTCTGTTCACTGGACTTAAAATAATGCAAACTAGATCTTTGTGGCCATCAGGGTACCCGATCCTGGTGATTTTCCAGAGAATAGGCAGCTGTTTGCCTATTTAGAAAACCTAGACGTCTGCCTCTCTGACGGCAGAGAACTATTAATCTCTCAAGTCCATTCCATGTTTTAACTTCATTTTAGAAAGGATAAATATGATGACAGGAAATTACATGAAAATGCCAAAGGCACATTTTTACCTAAATTACCTCTTTCTGATTTTAGAATATAATTGGTAAGTCAACCATACAGTATGGCTGTTTTAATTCTAGCAAGGGATAGAACTGAAAGGAAAAAAAAAAAAACAAAAAACGGACACAAGACTTTCACCAATCACCTTCACTCACAAACTCCTACCTTCCCCCCACTATTTATCAATAACTATCCCCCTGGCGATCCAGTCCCCTTAGGGGGGTCAGTGACCTAGAGCTATAGAACACCAGTCAGAGGGTGAAGGAGGCAGAGGGAGCAGGGCTCCAGAACATGCCCTACCATCCTCAATTCCTGTGGTTATTCTTTTGCAGCAGATTTGAAAGCCCTTTGCCATGGAAGGTAAGAGATAAAGAAGAGCCACATGGCTCTCACCTCCTGTCTGTTGGAGATCAACTATGACATTTCAAGAGAGACAATTATGAAAGTATCTAAGAGAATCAGAATAGATATTAATGGAGGACAGATATCAAGATCAATTTAATAATACTTTATATATATAGTATTTGATACGCAATAAAGCACTTACACGTCTATTTTCCTATCTGTACACTGAACATGAGCACCTCTTTAAAAATATTCCCTCTTACTCATAACGACTGGCTGAATTTCAGAGACCAAACCCAATGGTAAATTTCCTGATATATACCAAAAAAAACCCAACCTGCTACTGGTGAGTCGATTCCGACTCACAGTGACCCTGTAGGACACAGGAGAACTGCCCCACAGGGTTTCCAAGCAGTGGCTGCTGGATTCAAACTGCTGACCTTTTGGTAAGCAGCCAAGCTCTTAACCACTTGGCCACCAGGGCTCCTCCCCATATACAATAGCACTTATTTAAAAGGAGAAAAGGTCTGTAATAAAATCATGAAAAAAAAATTCACGTAACCTTCTCTAAGTGGGAAAAAACTATCATACTTTTCCAAGACTTTACAGGATGCTTAAGATTCCAGCTGAGATAAATATCATCAATATTTAAAACAGAAAATGAAGACGCTCCTCCAGCTTCTATTTTAATAGAAATATTCTGAGATAAAATAAGAACACAAAGAGTTAAAACTGACAAGACTCTTAGAAACTTCTTTGTTCACATACAAAAAGCTCTTCTGTAGCGAAGAATTTTCCTTTCACATCATTTTGAATTTTGAGTAAAAGTAAAATTAGCCACCTATTAAGTTCAACCAAACCATGGGCTGCATTCAGGATAAGGATTTAGAATTACCTAGTGTTCATTTTGTGGGTCTGAAAACCTAAATAGGGATCAAGAACCAAACTAGTTGCTAGGTCATCATTTTCACAAAGCTCCTTGGCAGACATTCCAGAAGATGGTACATATCGACTCTGGCCTTCGAATCCAGAATTACCATTACCTGTGAAAAGCAAGGGAAAATAAAAGTAACTCAAATTGAAAACTACTGCAATCTACCTTAAAACCTTTTAGCTTCAATGTCCATTTAAGCTAGTAATCAAGAATAGAAACTTATTTCAATCAGCTTAAGTAAAAAGATTTAGTACCTTTTGCAAAAACAGAAACCCAACTGCAATACACTAACCCAGTTATTCAGAGTCTGTTGGTTAGGTGGTAGTATTATCAGGTTTCCAAGAAAGCGGTGTGGGTGGCTGTGAGAATCTTTGGTTCACGGCTTACCCTCTGCCCTCCAAGGAACAGGGGAGAAGCAGAGGATGGGAGGAAGCTCATCCTTCCAGCAAGAGAGCAAACAGGGCCTTTACAGAGAGGGTGGAGTGAGGCGGAAACAAGGAACACACAACACTCTCTGGGACTAACTGTCAGAATCGGAGCTCTCAAGTACGGAAAGGAATGTGAAAGAGGGAGCTCAGCCTCCTGCTTCGGGGCAGAAGAATGATTATTTATCCCTGTACTGTGCTGGTGACTCCGGCTCAGAGGTGAGGCAACCTGTCTATGATTACAGGGCTAGGTAGCAGGATTCGGGGAAAGAAGTGGAAGGAGAATGAGAGGCCTAATTCTAAATGACCTGTTTGAAATAGATTTTGAATGAATAAATGAAAATAGGGAAGTGACTGAAATACATGATTGAAGTAAGTGGCGGAAGGAAAAACAACATGCAGACAGACAAGGCAGGGCTAAAGCGCAGAGATGCCATTTGAGCACCGCTCATCAAGTCTGCAGCCTTCCTGAGGAACGAGCACGTCACTGACATAGGGAGAGGGCACCAGCACCTGGAGGCTCTCAAAATTAACATGTGGAAGAATGGCACACACACCAGAGGATCAACCTATCCGTTCACTCCTTCAAAACACAAAATCAAAACTCACGAGTAAGGCTCTGCCAAAGAGGAAGTACAGGACTTTGTAATCAAATTATCTGCATGTAGGTATGTGAAAAGCTAACAAAGTTGTTACGTTTTTTAGATAACACCTTTAAGATATAATTCACATTCCATACAATTTACCCACTTAAAGTGTACAATTCAAAGGTTTGTAATACAGTCACAGAATTGTGTAACCATCACCACAATCAATGTTTAGAACATTTTGATCACGCCTCCAAAACACCCCCACACCTATCAGCCGTCACCGTCCATTCACCCCCGCCTTCCCTGCCAGGTCCTGGAACCACTAATCTGCTTTCTGTCTCTATGGGTTTGCCTGTTCTGGAAACTTCACACAGATAGACTCATACACTATGTGACCTTTTGTGACTGACTTCTTTCACTTAGCATAATGGTTTCAAGGTTCCTCCATATTGTACCATATATAAACTCAATTCCTTTATATGGCTGAATAATTTTCCGTTGTATAGATATACCACATTTTATTTATCCATTTATCAGTTACTGGACACTTGGATTGTTTCCATTTTTTGGCTATTATGAATAATGCTGTTATGAACATCTGTGTATACTTTTTTTTTTTTTTTTTTTTGGTCAAGAAGATAGAAAAACTTCTCAGATTTCTTTTTCTGTCCCTCTATGGGCACAAATTTTTTTGTGGACATATGTTTTCACTTCTCTCGCCTATATACCTAGGGGTGGAATCACTGGGTCATATGGGGTCACCATGAGTCAGAATCGACTTGACTGCAACGAGAACACCCCCATGGTAACTTGAAGTTCAACCTTCTGAGGAACTATCAGACTGCTTTCCAGAGCAGCTGGACTATTTTACCACCAGCAGTGTATGAGGGCTCCAATTTTCTCCACATCCTCACAACACTTGTTTTTGTCTGTCTTTTTGACTGTAGACACCCTAGTGGGAAAGAAGTGGTATCTCACTGCAGCTTTGATTTGCATTTCTCTGATGACTAACAATGGTGAGCATTTTCTCACGTGCTTACTGGCCACTTTATACATCTTTGGAGAAATGTCTAATGAGAACATTGGCCCATTTTTTAATTTGGTTGCCTTTATTGTTGAGTTTATATATTCTGAATACTAGTCCTTTATCAAATATGTGACTTGAATATATTTTCTCCCATTCTGTGGGTTGTCTTTTCACTTTCTTGATGGTGTCTCCTGAAGTACAAAAGTTTTGTATTTTGATGAACTCCAACTTATCTATTTTTTTCTTCTGTTGCTTGTACTTTTAGTGGTATATCTAAAAAACCATCCCCTGATTCAAAGTCATGATAATTTACACCTACTTTTTGTTCTAAGAGTTTTATAATTTTAGCTTTTACATTTAGGGGGCTGACCCGTTTTGAGTTCATTTTTATATATGGTGTAAGGTAGGCATTCGACATCGTTCTTCTGCATGTGGATATCCAGTTGTCCCAACACCATTTGTTGAAGAGACTGTTCTTTCTCCCTTGGAATTATCTTGATACCCTTGTTGAATGAAAAATCAACTGACTGCAAATGTGAGGGTTTATTTCTGGACTCTCCATTCTATTCCATCGTGTCTATCCTTATACCAGTACAACACTGTCTTGATTACTCTAGCTTTATAGTTAGGTTCTGAAAATGGCAAGTGTGAGTCCTCCAACTTTGTTCTTCTTTTTCAAGATAGTTTTGGCTATTCCGCTTCTCTTGAATTTCCGTAAGAAATTTAGGATTGGCTTTCAATTTCTGGAAACCCTGATGGCGTAGTGGTTAAGTGCTACGGCTGCTAACCAAAAGGTCGGCAGTTCAAATCCACCAGGCGCTCCTTGGAAACTCTATGGGGCAGGTCTACTCTGTCCTATAGGGTTGCTATGAGTCAGAATCAACTCGATGGCAATGGGTTTGTTTTTCATTTTTTCAATTTCTGCAAAGAAGCCAGCTGGGACCCCCCAGTCCCCAAGCTGGGGTTTTGACAGAAATTATGTCGAATCTGTAGTTCAATTTGGGGAGTATCTTAACAATATTAACTCTTCCAATCAATAAACATGGGATGTCTTTCCATGGGTCTTCTTTAACTTCTTTCAACAATGTTTTATAGTTTTCAGAGTGTAAGTTTTACATTTTTTTGTTAAATTTATGCCTAAATATATTATTTTTGATGCCACTGTAAATAAAACTGCTTCCTTAATTTCATTTTCTGATTGTTCATTGCAAGTTGTATAGAAACACAATTGTTTTTATATATCAATCTTGTATCCTGCAACCTTGCTGAACTTGTTTTCAGTCCAAATAATTTTTTAATGGATTCCTTAGGATTTTCTATATACAAGATAATGTCATCTGTGACTAGAGGTCCTTTTACCTCTTTCCTTTGCACTCTGGATGCCTTTTCTTTTTCTTGCCTAATGGCCTTGGCTAGAACGTCCAGTAGAATGTTAAACAGTGGTGAGAGTAGATATCCTTGCCTTGCTCCTGACCTTATGGTTAAGCCTTTAGTCTTTCACCATTAAGTATATTAGCTGTGGGTTTTTCATACATGTCCTTTATCAAGTTGAGGAAATTCCCTCCTATTCCTAGTTTGTTAAATGTTTTTATCATGAAAGAGTGTTGGATTTTGTCAAATGCTTTTTCTGAGTCTACTGAGATGACCATGTGTTTTCTGTCCTTCATTCTATCAACATGGTGTACTATGGTGATTTTCAGATGTTAAACCAACCATGTATTCTTGGGCCAAATCCCACTTGGTCATGGTGTAGAATCCTTTTCATATGTTGCTGGATTTGGTTTGCCAGTATTTTGTTGAGGATTTCTGCATCTGTATTCCTAAGAGGTATTGGTCTGTAGTTTTCTTGTGGTAGTTTTGGCATCAAGGTAACTTGCCCTCATACAATGAGCTGAAAAAGAACTCACTTCTTTACTATTTTTTGGAAGAGTTCGTGAGGAACTAGTATTAATTATTTCTTAAACATCTGGTAGAATTCACTAGTCATGTCGGACTGAAACCTTTGTGGGTAATGTTTATTATTACTATTAATTCAATTTCTGTGTGTTACACGCTTTTCAGATTTTCTGCTTCTTCTGGAGTCAAGTTTGTGGTTTCTTTCTAGGAATTTGCCCATTTAATCTAAGTTACCTAACTTGTTGTTATATAGTTGTTCACAGTATTCCCTTACAGATATATTTTTTCCTGTAAGGTCAGCAGTAATGCCCTCTTTCATTCCTGGTTTTAGTAATTCGAGTGATCTCTCATTTTTCTTGGTTAATGTTAAGGTTTCCCAGTTTTATTGATCTTTTCAAAGAATCAACTTTTGGTTTTGCTGACTTTCTCTAGTTCATTAATTTCTACTCTAATACTCATTATTTCTTTCATTCTGCTTACTTTGGTTTTAATTTGTTCTCTTTTTCTGGTGTCTGACGGTGGAAGGTTAAGTTATTTGAGATCTATCTTCTTTTTTAACATAGGCATCTACGACTACATACTGCCCTCTATGCACTACTTTAATTGCATCCCATAGGTTTTGGTATATTGTATCTTCATTTTCACTTATCTCAAAGCATTTTTTAAATTCCCACTTCTTCTTTGATCTGTCGGTTATTTAGGAGTATTTAATTTTCACATATCTGTAAATTTCTCACATTTCTTTCTGTTATTTGATTTCTAATTTCATTCCACTGTGGTCAGAGAACATACTTTGTATGATTTCAATCCTTTTACATTTACTGCATCTTATTTTATGGCTTAGCATATGGTCTCCCCTGAAGAATATTCCATGTGCTCTAGAGAAGAATGTGTACGCTTCCGTTTTGGGGTGGGGCACTCTACACGTCTGTTAGGTCTAGGTGGTTTACAGCACTGTTCAAGTCTTCGGTTTCCCTGCTGATATCTGCTTAGTTCCATCACGGAAAACGGGTCTTGAAGTCTCCCACTATTAACGTTGAACTATTTCTCTCTTCAGTCCTGTCAGGTTTAGTTTCACATCCTTTGGGGCCCTGATGGCAGGTGAAGTTGGTACATTTTCTCTAAATTGGAGCACTGCTTTGTGCTCCCCAATTTGTCTTCTTCGTTCACTCTGTTTCTGCACCATTTTTGTCCGATAACGTTCAACGTGTTAATGTCTATGTTCACACTCGCTAAGTTTTCCCAGTTCCTCTAAATCTACCTACACTTGACGAAATGTAGATCCACACAATGGCCATTTTCTAAATTTCTTATGTATTTCCAATAATTAAACTGTTTTGTGACTAATGCAGATTGTAGCTTCCAATGGAAACCTTTTTGCACTGTAATGCACAAAAGGAGGCCAATAGCGATTTGCTAAAATGTTTTAAGAAATGTCTAATTTACTGACCAGAGCCAATATCACTAATACGGTCACTACATTTCCCTATTCCTACAAACTGAAGGAACCCATCAAATGCTGGAGGGTGAGGCAGGATCAGTGAGTGTGTACACTAACAGCAACCTCGAGGTGAGGAGGAGACCATGAAGAGGAGAATCCATTCACCCCTGGCTTTCTTCTTACTTCTGTCCGCAGCAGGGATTTCTGCCTGGTCTCCTACAGAAGAAGTGACCTGACGTGACAGGGAATGGCTAGGGGTAGTTGGGCCCAATGATGAACGTAAACCCCTAAGTGTAAAGGGAAGGAAATCAATCAGAACTGGTATAATCTATATCCGACACTGTAGAAAACCCCACAGGGTGATACCAATCCAATGGGAACAGGTCAATTCCGAGACAAACTAAGTATATTCAATAGTGGTTAGATTAACCTTAGGAAAAGCAAGAAATTAAAGTTGTCCTCCTTAACATGGCCACACACTCAGGCATTTTACCACACACTCAGGCATTTTACTACTCTTAGAAGAGCTATGAAAGATGTAACAAATCCACAACTTTTCAAAGTCCCTAAAAGTAGCCCCATTCTTACCAAGAGGTATAAAGGGAATGAAGTAACTTATTGTCAGCACTGCTTCACAGTCAAGATAATCAACTGTTTGCTCCATATCACTGTCACTGTTATTGTGCCCCGTCGAGCCAATTCCGACTCATAGCGACCCTACAGGATAGAGAAGAACTGCCCCATAGGGTTTCCAACGAGTGGCTGGTGGATTTCAACTGGCGACCTTTTGGTTAGCAGCCTAAGCTCTTAACCACTGCCAACACGAGGGCTCTGTATAAACAGAATAAATGGCTACTATCGTCAAGTTAAGGAGCCCTGGTAGAGTTAATGGTTAAACACTCAGCTGCTAACTGAAAGGTCAGTGGTTCGAATCCAGCCACTCCACAGAAGAACGATGTGGCAGTCAGCTTTCATAAAGATTACAGTCTTGGAAACCCTATGGAGCAGTTCTACCCTGTCTTATAGGGTCGCTATGAGTCAGAACTGACTCGACGGAAACAGGATCAGGATCGTCAAGTTATCCCAGTCAGTTCTAGCCACCCTCCATTCCACTTATCATAATGTAAATTAGAGTTGACTTTATTATTCAAATTACTCCATGAAACATTTATGGAAATTAACCGAAGAAATACATGCTTATCCTTGTATCAAATATAAAAAAAAGTTCCAACTTATAAGAAATTCAATAGCAGTATCTTTAAAAATCTACAAAATTTTCTATTAATAATTTAAAGTTATGACTAGAAATGCAAAATTAAGGTTATTATGTTAAGGATTAAACTTAACTTTTACATGTTAGGTGAGAATCAAAACCGATGTAACCCAAGAGTAAAAAAACTATACTGTCATGAGAATACAAAAAAATGTGCTTTGAAGACACAGAAAACAGAACACACATTACAAACTGAAAAGGATTATTACTCCACATCACAATCGAAACACCAATAGGTTAAGTGTGTACATACATCTGCTTGACCTCCTCTCAACTGCATTTCTGCCAGCCTTCAGGGTGTCCTTTCCCGTGTGCGGTAATTTGGATGGAGTCTGCAGATGGTCATCAGACAACTTGCCTCCATTTCTCCTGCCATTCACCACCATGTTCTTGGAGTCTCCCAACCACTTCATACCCACAGACAGCCTGACCCAGGTGCATTTAGTCACTCTCTTCAAATAGCTTAGAGAGTAATTTCAATGTTCTCTCCTAACAGAAACAAAATATGAAAACAAAACCAAAACGGGTAGGTAAATACATGAAATACCACACTGGAACACACTTAAGATACAAACTATTAAAAGTAATTTAGTAATTAATGCTTCCACTCTTTAATTACTACAGTGGCTCCCCTGAACCGTATCATGTCACGTTCAGGACTACAGGGCCCCCTGACTCTGATTAGAATATAAACTCCATGCGGCAGGGACTCACTTTGTCCTGTTCATTGCTTGTGCTTAGAATGGTGACTGGCAAGTAGTAGATGCTCAATAAATATCTACTGGTTACCAATGAGAATTACCTTTGCTCATTCATGACGCTGATATCTGGGTACAGCTCTAGAAGCTGCTCCAATCACACATTTTGATAACACTCTATTGCCTCTGTGAGGAGACTACGGAGATGTCATCTCTCTTCTGTCCCAAGGAAGGCTCAGGAGAAGGCATCTGTGGTAAGTTTCGTCCACAAAAGTAAGGGGCACCTCACTGTTACACTACCGACTCATTACTCGTAGCATAAAAAGACCTACAAAGCACAAGTTCAGCAGAGGGACAAAAATAAGGAGAGTAAAGGGTGTCTCATCTTCTTGTTGTTAGTTTGAAGTCAGTGTTCAAGGTATTTAAGGGGCCAGTATTCAAATATCAAAATAGTATCCGCCCATCTGCAAATGTCTGCCTAATCATTCCTGTCTAGCAGCAACAAGAATTGAGAGATTATTATATTTGGTAATACAGAGGCATCCCTTACTATCCAAATTTTAATTAGCTACATGTGGAAACAATGATTTTGAGTGAAGGACGCTTATCACTGACAAGGACCTCCAGAAGTGAGGGTATACGTTTCTTAGTGACGGAAGCAGAAAAAGGATGTCCACGACATCACCACAGTATGGACTTATCCTTTAGTATAAGTCAGACCAAAAAGGCCCAAAGAGAACAAAATGCAAAAAAAACAGCACTTCAGCACTAAAGGGACTGTCAGATCAGGAGAACAACTCCTTCAGGCTACAGATGAACTAAGGCTGGAGAGACTGTGCTCACCTGCCCAGTTCACACAGGCAGCTGGCAGCGGGCTGCGCTCAGAGCCTGGCGGTCCGCAGAGGACCTCGCACTACCTCCGGGCAAGGGTCCGTTTCCCTGACTTCTCACAGGCTCACAGGAAAGTGTAAACGGTACATTATGCTGAAGTCCTCCTAGAGGCATACACAGACGTGCCTTTAATGATGCCCAATACAAGTACAAAACACTCCTGTTTACTTGACCTCAGGTCTCCTTCATGTCACAGGATTTGTGTGAATTCATAGTTGGGTGAAATGTGAGTGGGAGCAACATGCTTAGGTAAAAAGGTAAAAACCAGCCGATGGATAGAAGGACACTTTGATAATTACTTGCTAACATTTCTTTCTCCCCTGGTCCCTTCACTGTTTAAACTCCTGACTGTTCCCATAAGCTTCGCTGAACCCAAAGAATGCTGCTGCTTGAGAGGAAAGGGCAGACAAGCCCAGTGATACAGCACAGCGATGAGCTCAAAAATTTCCAATGATTAAATGTTATCTCATTTACCACAAGACCGCCTACTGATTATCAATACCCTATATTTATGCTTAAAAGGAAAGTCACAGAACTCAAGAGCAGTGTTATCTCTGAAGCCCAAAGGCCGAAGAAAGCTCGAAAATAAGGCAATGCCCTGACTCGGAGGTGCACAACTAGAGGGCGAGCCTGGAACACTACCTCCCTTTCTGTCTGGCTAATTCCGTTAGTCCTTTAATTCCAGCATATCCTCCTCCAGGAAGTCTTCCTTGACCCTCACTGGCAAGCCCAGTTAGATGCCCCTGCTAGGAAACCTCGGTGAAAGCCCTTACGGCATGAGGCTGTAACTGTCTGCATCCTTAATTGACTAAGAGCTCCTGAGGTCAAGAATCTGGGTTTCTTATTTTTAACCCCAGTATCCAGCACAGCCCACAGTATATCAGACACACTCAGCTGATGAAAGTATAAACAGATGAGGCTGTGGTCTGAAGCACTCAACAGAGACTATTCCTACACATCATTTTTTAATTGTAAATTAAAGGTTATTACCTCCGACCTATTCCAATCCTCTTCTTTCTCAAGATGCCCACGGGGTCAAAGGCTGCGCGAGTCCTCACCTAGCAGATCACATGCATGAACAGGCACCTGAGGCAAACTGCACAGGTAGAAACACAGCAGGAATCAGAGCTGCTACCACCAGCAACCTCCCTGACCAAAAAGCCAAACCTGCTGCCATTGAGTCGATTCCAACGCCTAACGACCCTATAGGACAGAGCAGAACTGCCCCATAGGGTTTCCAAGAAGTAGCTGGTGGATTCAAACTGGTGACTATCCAGTTAGCAGCCGAGCTCTTAACCACTGCACCACCAGGGCTCCCAGTAACCTCCCTGGCACCTGCCATTACACTTTCTGGCTCACCCCATCGTTCGGCGCCTCAAGACAAAAGAACGAGGAGGAGACAGGGAAGTGCTCTGGGAGCAATCCACCCTAAGGATGCCTACAGACACCACACAACTTACGGCCAATGACGGAGGAACTTGTTCTTCAGACTCTTAGGCGTCTTAATACTCAGTGATAAGATACAGAGTGTGACTATATGGGCTAGGAAAGAGAAACCTGGCTTTAGAGAGAATTAAGAGACACAAGAAATAGCAAGTCATCTCTCCATGGAGAAACTTAAGTTCCAACCAAGATTCTCACTCAGACAAATTCGTGAAGAAAACACACCAACTACGAAGAGATGATGGAAGACACGCTCTAACAGTGTGTGTTTCAGTGATTCTGATGCACGTTCCAGAGCCAGAACGACTGTTCTCGGGTACCTCATTCATTCATTTACCATCCACTAGGGCAAAACACAGATGCCAACATTTTCAGAAAAATTAGAGAATAAAAAACCTAATTGGAGGAAATTACATCTATTGATCTAATTTTTTTCTGAGAATTAAGAAAAGTCCACCAATAATCCTTTCAGCAGTAGTAGCCCACTTCAGCCCAGTTCACGGAACACAGACTGTGATCTACTCTATCTTACACACAATATCAGCTAAATGCGGGTTAAGGAGCCACAGTGGAATAAACTCATGACCTCGGCTCTCGTTTACATCGTGGTTGACGGGTATTATTCAGTTTGAACTGAAGGTCCACTACCATCCTCAGCTGTCTTCAGGTTGACTACAACTAGTGGCCACCCCGTATGTATCAGAGTAGAACTGTGTGCTCCACAGGATTTTCAATGGCTAATTTTCTGAGAAGCAGACTGCCAGGCCTTTCTTCTGAGGTGCCTCTAGGTGGACTCAAACCTCCAACCTTTTGGCCAGCAGCTGAGCACTTCACTGATGCACCACCAGGGCTCCTTAATAGAGGAAAGCACCGGGAAATAACAAATGAACACCTAAATGTCAGCACCCTGGAAAAAATAAAGCAGTTTAGGGGAAAAGGGAAGGAGACAGAGAGCAAGGGAAGGGAGGAGACAGAGTGAATGTGTGTCGGGGAGGGGGTGATGGTGGTTCTTTTCTAAGAGAGCTCAGGAAGTGAGGAGAACAGCGGACAGAAGGGGGAAGCGTGTACGGGGCAGTGGGAAAAGTACAAAGCGCAGAGGTAGACATGCACTTGATGTATCTGAGGAGCAGAACGAGGCCAGCGTGGCTGGAGGAGGGCGGGTGGGGGGCAGAGAGGCTGGGAGAAGAACACGTAACGCAGGGAGTGGAAGCGTTTACTCCCAGTGGGATGGAAAGCGGAGGAACGACAGGGTCCACCGTAGAGCTGTGAAGGCCCACTCTGGCTGTAGGCGGAGATGAGCTCGCAGGTGGACATTTTTATAACAGGTCCAATGAAGCAACTGACAATTTGGGAGACAAGCGGGGAAGCAGGGAGACCAGTGAAGGGACTAGTGCAATAAAGCAGGGGAGAGATGCTGGTGGCTGGGTGTAGACGAGGTGGTGAGAAGTGACCAGTTGTGCTGACAGACAGGATTTGCTGGCAGACTGACAATGAATGTGGGAGAGAGGACTCCAATACGCCACCACCTGGAAGAAAGGAGTTAACACTTACTGAGGTGACAAAGACCATAGGAAGACCAGGTTTTGGCAGGGGTGGGGACACAGGTGGGACCAGGAGTTTGGTTTTGGTGATTTTTGAGAAGCACTCAGAGAATAAGTAGAGCTGTCAAATAGGCAGGTGGATGAAAGTGTCTGGGGTGGGATACATTCGGAGTCAGAGCATTAATGGTATTTCCAGCCATGGACCCAGATGAAATCACCGAGGGAGCATAGATAAAAAAGAAGTTCAAGGACTGAGCTCTGGAGCACTCTCACATTTAGAGATCAAGATGAGGAAAAGGTCGCAAAGGATAACAAAAAGGAGAGAGGAGCCCAGGTGGCGCAGAAGTTAAGCGCTCAGCTGCCAACTGAAGCTTACTGAAGTTCGAATCCACCAGCCTCTTCCCAGGAGAAAGATGGAGCAGTCTGCTTCTGTAAAGATTTACAGCCTTGGAAACTCTACGGGGCAGTTCTACTATGTCCTTTAGAGTCACTATGAGTTGGAATCAACTCGACGGCAATGGGTTTGGTTCTTTTGGTTTTAGAGAGGGAGGAGGATAACCAAGTGAAAACGCTGTCCTAGAAGCCAGCTAACAGCACTTCAAGAAGCGAGTGATCAGCTTGGGCAAAGGCTACAGGTGCACGTAACGTAAACACCTCTTTCGCTGAGAGTAAACTCACGGACAGGAGTCCCTAGCTAGTGCAAATGGTTAAGCACTGGACTACTAATACTAACTAAAAGACTGGCGGTTCAAACACACCCACAGGCGCTTCGGAAATAAGGCTTGGCGATCCCACTTCCAGAAGGTCACACAGCCTTGAAAACCCTACGGAGTTCTACTCTGAACGAGTTGGAATTGCAACTCAACGGCAACTAACCACCACCACCAACTCACGGATAGGATGGGCCACCGACCTTCTATGAGCCTCTCTCAGGAACAACAGAACTTCTTAAAACGGACAGAAAGTCTTGAAACATGGCTCGTGGGGAAAGACCAAGGAGGCTTTGCTTAAGAAACACATGGCAGAGGAGAATGTAACAACCATGAATAAGAGAGTCCAAAGTCCTTCCGTCACTTGCTTCAAACAGAAAAAGAGTAGAATATGCCGAAAAAGACACATGCAAGTTAAATTTGGGGTGGAAGGTGATGGTAACAGGTCAGTTAATTCGAGAACAGTATGCCCTGATCTTTGTTACATTTTTTTAAAAAGAATGTATTAGGCAATTCCCTGGAATGGAGTAATAAAGATCATCCGAGTGTGATGATGGGGTGGAATTCCTGAGGGGTACTATGGAAAACTTTGTTCTCTCTATTTTTGTGAGTGTTGACAAAAAAAGATGCGCCCAGGCTGTAAGGAAATCCAGCTGTGAATATGCTCCAAGGTGGGCAGTACCACTTCCCCAAGGGATTTATCGCATCCAACTCTGCCAGACCCTAAAGTCCGCAGAGACAGAAGATTCATCTCATGTGGGTTTCAATACGAAGGAAAGCATCATGGAAAACTTTAAAATAAGCATTGTCAGCAAAGTACTTAAAAAGGAAACTTCTGATGCTATTGTAAAACCACTCCTAAGGTGAAAAGCACCACACATACGCACACCACCTCCCACCTCCCGAAAGGACACGTCCCACACTGCTGATGCCAACGGCTATCTTTGGGGAACTGGGATTAGCATTTTTTCCTCTGTATTGTTTCCAAACTGCCCACAGTGAATCTGTTTATTTATAATCAGAAGAAACAAAACTCTGTTACTTTTAAAGTTTCCAGAGAAAGCACAAAGCCAGTTCACAAAAGGTGCAGAGCGCCCCGGGTGACACGCGGCAGGGTTGCCCCTCAGTCACCGCCAGCGCCTTCCCATCGCCGTAGCCCCGTTACCCACACACCAGCACCTTCCCACCCGCCGCAGGCCCGTTACAGGCGCGCACACAGGATTTACAGACGATT